CATTTATGTCGATGCAGTAGTTACAATGTGATTTAGATTTTAGGTTTCATTATATTACGCCTTGTAATAGTATTACTTTCTATAGATATTATTATTGCGCTATATTAACAGATGAATAACGAGACATAGATTCTAGAATCTACAGGTTGCAACACATCAGATTTAACACCGCATAAAATTTAACAATTTAAATAAAGTAATGCTACTTTTCTTATATTTTCTATAACGTTACACGCATTGTATTTTTTCATAGTCTTTTCATAGAACATATTTAATATTATTTACATACATAGTTTTACTCAATAAATAACCACTATAATAATTATTAAAATTGTACAATGCTATTTACCATCAGAATTCATCATGAATAAATATAGTCATTAGTTTTAAGTATTATACAACTGTGTTTTCTTTCTCTGTACATGCCTGGCGCCCAATATTTATATATCTTTTGTTAATTATTACTGATTAATTTTCTCTCTAGTGAAATACCTTATCCACGACTGCTCTCTGATGAAAAGCTGCCGTTTGCAGTGGTAGTGGTTTAAAAAACGCTACAGTAATGTAGTACAAGAAGTTGGCGATTTTAAAAGATAAATTTACTATGAGATACACATTTTTTACATAAATTCACAAAAAATATTGGTGAATATTAAGATGTATTATAACATTTACATACATGCCACAAATTAGTCATACATCGATTTTAGAAACGAATTGTAAAACTATAGACCGGATGGTAAATTTACTACAATAATCTGTGGCGAGGAATAGTCCTCAATATTATTATTAAATTCACAAATTAATTTTTTCAGTGTAGATACCGATAATTACCGAAAGCATGCAAGTTAAAAATAATACTTCTTTACTGACGTTATTGACAATAAATAGTATATTATTGAACGAGCCATTTATGCAGGGGCGCAAGTCGCCCTAGTGAATAATGACTATAAATTGCGAGTTGAATACTATACTTTGTCCACTGCCATTATATATGAGGAGTGTTTGAATTTGTATTTTTAATGTTAATCTTCTTAATCTAATTATTAATTATTGTATTCATTGTTTTAGGGGAAAATATCACTACCTACTTAAAATTTGGCAATTTCAAACGTCAAAATTAACTAAAAGATAATAAAAACGTCAATATCATCAGTTGCTATTTATATGCATCGAGAGTCGCACTCATCTCGAACTATTCTATTTGCAAATATTTGGGAAGTTGATTATTAGATGTATTTTACGACATACCTGTATATTAGTACTTTTTTTCACCACCTTTGGTACAATAACTTTGATGAAAAATAATAGATCGTACCACCAGCAGCTGACTTTTTGTTGTTTTGTGTAACTAAAGTTGGTAATTTGTGTTTTATTTATCATCGGCATATATGTATTTGAATTTTAGTGATGCTGCTTCAAGTTTTTTGCAATAGAACATACTTCTACCAACTTTAGTTGAGTACAGTTGTTGGAGAACGATAAATTGGAGTAGCAGCAACTGACTTTTTGTTGCTTTGTGTAACTAGAATTGGTAATTTATGTTTCATTTAAAGTTATATGTGTATTTGAATTTCATTGATATTATTTCAAGTTCCTTTGCATGAAAATATCGTACCAACATTCTTTAGTCAATCAGGAGATTGATTTTTGTTCCGTTACAATTTGTGAATAATACGTAAAACTATACAGAAAAATTTATCATAAGACTATAAGAGCCGCTAAGGACCTTTATTATAATAGGAGAATAGTCAATTCTGGTAATGTTGCTAAGGAAACATGGTCTATTGTGAATGAGTTGAGAAACAAAGCTTCTTCGTCTAGCAATATCTCTACCTCGCCTGAGAACCTTAACGATTACTTTGTAAATGTAGCGAAAAACTTAACTAATACCATATGTCTTCCTCATGATCCACTTTCTTATCTCTTTAATGATAATGTAAACTTACACAGTTTCTTTTTTTCGCTCGCAGTTTTAGAAGAGCTTCGCAGTACAATTAATATCATCAAAAATAAATCCTCTTCTGGGACCGACGGGCTAACTTTAAAAATGTTTTCGAATCTGCCAGAAAGCACTCTGAATCACCTAACAACTTTAAAAAACATATCGTTCCAAAATGGTATTTTTCCAAAATGTCTTAAGACGGCAATAATCATTCCTCTGCATAAAGGAGGAGACAAAGAGTAAGCTTCTAACTATCGCCAATTGCACTCCTTCCAACGCTATCTAAGATCATAGAAAGGTTGGTTAAAAGAAGGCTGGTATCTTTTCTGTTTAAGTGCAAAATACTTAGTGAATATCAATTTGGATTTCTAAGCAACAAGTCCACAAATGACGCTATGTTTTCCCTTCTTAATAAAGTTTACTCCAGCCTAAACAACCATCATTCTACAGCAACAATTTTCTGTGATTTTTCTAAGGCGTTCGATTGTGTAAATCATAAGATCCTAATTAATAAACTGCAGCACTATGGGTTAGGGGATCATCTCTCGAATCGTTTAAGTCGTATCTGAGCGACAGAAGTCAACTTGTGAGGGTGGATACCACGTTGTCTTCTAGCAAGCCAATAGAATGTGGAGTACCACAAGGCCCAGTACTAGGCCCTATTTTGTTTCTTCTTTTTATTAACGACATTGCTAACATAAACATCAGTGGCAAAATATGTCTTTTTGCGGATGACACTAGCTTCACTTGGAACAACAAGGACATCACGGCACTTCATAGGATTATATCAAATGACTTAATCACCATTAAATCTTGGTGCGATTCGAACCTCCTGACTCTCAACATTTCTAAAACTAAAGCTTTGTCGTATAAAAACTCGTTGCAGCCTTTTGTACTTAACAACACCACCATTGACGTCGTCAAATCTGTAAAGTTCTTGGGGCTTGTTGTGGACAATTCTCTGAAATGGGACATACATATCGAAGCTTTGTCAAAAAATTGAGCTCTGCCTGTTTTGCATTAAGGTACTGTTTCTAAGGAGCTTAACTTGTCAGTGGCTAGAACTGTTTATTATGCACTTTTTGAGTCGCACCTCAGGTATGCCCTTCCATTCTGGGGTACGTGTTGTGCGACTCAATTTGACCGCATTTTCAGGCTCCAGAAGAGAGCTGTTCTATATTCACTGGGACTAAACAGCAGAACTTTTTTAAAAAATTAAAAATATTGACTCTTCCTTCCTTATTTATATTTGAATCCATTTTCCTAATAGGTAAACATGTATCAGCTTCTCAAGGAAGGTCATCTCACACTTATCCACTCAGGAACGCGGAGCAAGATCTTTATCTACCTACCCCACGCTCAGAGTTAGTTAAAAGTTCAATACTATACAACTCGAAAAAAATGCACAATCACCTGCCATTTGAAATCAAATCCATAACATCATTTTTTTCATTTGCAAAGCATTGAACTCTTATTTACTAGACAAGGCTTTCTACGCCGTAATGAATTATATTTGAATTGAAAATCGAATTTGATCTTGAAAACACTGGTCTAATGTTTGCTATTGCTATATTTACTAATGACATCGAAATTAATTTATTTAGAGGTCATTGATATTTTGCTATAAACTGGCTAAATATTTTTGAATATTATTTTAAATTTTTTTGTTCTTTGACATTGTAAACATTTATATATGTTTATTTTAACAATAAGACTGACAATATTATTTGTATAATGTTTTGTATTATCTTTTGTTTGTTTGTTTGTGTACCTTGTTTTTTTTTACTTTGTTTGTTAGTTTACCTTTGTCCACAAATTGAAAATTTTTTTGACAATTAAGGCATTTATTTATTTATTTATTTATTTAATGAAAACAAAATATACTAATAATAACACGGATTCGGAAAACGAATTTATGCCTTTAGCAATCCTCTATTCTAGAAAGTTTTTATAGGCAGACATGTAATGATGCTTAGACTTTTGTGGTAGCAATTCAAGACTTGTTAATTTGGCCGCCTCTGCTATCTCTGGTGGTGTACAGGGCTCATTATCACTCTTATAAATCATTTTTTGATTTTAAACGAGTTCTTGATATGCCACTTAATAATCACTACCTACTTAACATTTGACAATTTTAAACGTCAAAATTAATAAAAAGAAAAGATAAGAAAAACGTCAAATCATCCACGCCGCGCATCGGGATGCTCTGAGTGTCACGTTGGCATAGCAACAAATGTAAAGTAAATGAGAAGTGTTTAGCCCTAGCAGTCAACTATTAAGCTTGACCAATCAGGTTGGTTAGCGTGGTTATTTGGAGGGTGTTAATTCATTTGTGTTTGTCAAAAACAGAATATTATTTTTATTTTTTTGTTCTTTGACGTTATAAACATTTATAAATGTTTATTTTAACAATAAGACTGACAATATTATTTGTATAATGTTTTGTATTATCTTTTGTTTGTTTGTTTGTGTACCTTGTTTTTTTACTTTGTTGGTTAGTTTACCTTTGTCTACAAATTGAAAAATTTTTTGACAATAAAGGCATTTATTTATTTATTTAAAAACTCTAACGTGATTGGTCGGGCTTAATAGTTGCCTGCTAGGGCTAGACACAAGTAAGTAAATGCAAAGTGTGATTTATCATAATTCACTGTTATCAGCTGTTGTATTTCACTCTACTACAAATATGGGCACCATATTCCTTCAGCTAGGAAGTAGATTATTGATTTATTATTAAGTGGTCGTGGACAAAACTAATTTCATTTAATAGGGATTATAAAAAATAACGAAAACTGTATTTAAGGTTACTGATACTGTAATTACAAGGTGTGGCTTTTTTCTATTAAAATTGATCAAAAAAAAATCTTTTCAATTCTGAAGATATTTTCCGTTTACGTGACCGTACTCAGCCTGGTTTTTCCTTCCTGCCGGGTAGAAGAGGGGTACCAAGCGAGGGCGGGACCACGATAAACCGCAATTGCCTATTCTAGTATTACTCTAGTATGTCCAGTTACCACCAACGTTCACCAAAGGCCGATTTTTATTGTACACTTACCGGACCACTCAAGGCTGGCAAGATAGCCGATGCAAGCTTTCCTGACAGTATGCCGGCTCCTTTCTAAAACAGAAATATTATATGGTACGGATCGGATAGCGCCGTATATGATTGAAAAAATAGGTTATGGAGTGAGTCAGATTCGTTTATAGGGATTTTCTTTGTTACCTTATTAATATACAGAGTGAGTTTTCTACGATGTTCTCTATGGGTATCTTGGAAACTACTGGAGATAGAGAGTTGGTTAAATGGGGAAAGAATTGTTCAAGTTCATGGCTTACTAGATATTACAAAAAAAAAAAACAAATTTCGGCTATTTTAAAAATTTTCCCTAATTTCATTATAATCTATTTTAGACAAAAAGGTTTCAGATAAAAGTTGTAGATTATCACATCCCTAATGAGATTGTGTTCTTCATTTTTTTCTAAAGCCTCTCGTTTTTGACATACGACACAAACATATGTTTTTTTTTAAATGGAAACCAAAGTTGGCCATGACCTCACAAAAAGCGCCATTTTTTAAGCTTTTCAGCGATATAAGCTATAATATGTTTTTTTCGAGTTATAGCCAATTTTTATCATTTTTAAACTATTTCACTTAGTTAGCCATGGGAACAAGTTCAATAGTCGTTGCTCTCAGAAATGTGAAATTGTCACATCCAAACTTTGTAAATTAAAATAAACAAAAATTGCAAATATGAATTTTTAGTAGGATGTTTGATTTAACTTTTCTTGGCCATACATTTTCGAGGAAACGTTTACCGGTGAACGTTACTTACGTTTTTTAGAGAACGGGTTTCAAGACAAGTTAAATTTCGATACTCGCGCACCAATAGAGTGGTTCCAACATGACTTTCATTATGGCACACTCCCCCATAATGAAAGAAATGTTAAAAAATATTTATATTATAATTATTCAAACTCAGGAATAGGAAGAGGTGGCCCAATTGCATGTGCCTCCTCGATCACCTGACCTATACATTTTAGATTTTTTTATACGGTGTGGTTATCAACAAGGTTTACAAAAGAACTCATGAATTAAGAGAGGCACTCGAAGAGGCGGTACTAGAGAAGTTTAAGTCGACCGGTCGTTCTGTGAGAATAGCTAGTAATTCAGTTGTAAAAAGATGCATTTATGTACACAAAACAATGGCGGATTTTTGAATATTTTCTAAAATAAATTCATATTTACAAATTTTGTTTACTCTAATTTACAATTTCTGATACGACGATTCAGCAACGACGATTGATTTTGTTTCCATGGCTAACTAAGTGAAATTGTTTAAAAATAATAAGAGTTGGCTATAATTCAAGAATTTTGAAAAAAAAACATATTATAACATATATCGCTGAAAAGCTTAAAAAATGACACCTTTTATGAAGTCATGGCCAACTCTGGTTTCCATTTAAAAAAAAACATGTTTGTGTCATATGTCAAAAATGACAGGCTTTAGAAAAAAATGGAGTACACAAACTCATTAGGGATGTGATTATCTACAACTTTTATCTAAAAACTTTCTGTCTAAAATAGATTATAATGGAATTAGGGATAGTTTTTAAAATAGCCAAAATTTGTTTTTTACGAAATATCTAGTAAGCCATGAACTTTTTTAAAAATCTAAAAGGCGCTATTTGTGACCCCACAAAACTGCAATTCTTTTCCCATTTAACCGACTCTCTATCTCCAGTAGTTTTCGAGATACCCATAGAGCACATCGTAGAAAACTCGCCCTGCATAAAAATACTATTTTTATCTGAGTTTATTTCAAAAATTGCTGTAAAAAATAATATAAATAAAATTAGTAAGGAACTTTATACTTTTATAAGACCTATTATATAACTTACTGCTCCTGGAGGATTGGCTATGCCCTTAATTACAGCACCAATCAGGGCTCCAGCAAATGCTCCTACGTCTGATCCTCCATCTGTACCCTATTTTATATAATATTGATTAAAAAACAATAAAAATCTGATTTAAATTGAATAAAAACAGTATTTTAATATTAAAATCCTTCTATACTTACACCAAAGAAGGTTCTAAGTAGTTCTGTGAGTCCAGAAAAATCGTAGGTCCCATCTGGATTTTGCTTAAAATAAATTTTTTATAGACTAAATAAAGAGTAACATCGGTAAAATAAGGGAAAAGGTAAAATTTACACTAAGTTTAAAATAAATTGTCTCTCGAATTCGCTGTTTGATTTACACAGGGTGAGTTTTAAATAAGTGCAAATATTTTCAAGATCTCTATAAGAGAAACATATTTTCTTTTTACCGTTTTTCAAGTAAGTCCAAAATAACCGAGTTATTTTATTTTTAAAATTTCCAAAAAAAAAGGATTTTTTTGCTTAAATTTTGAGAACCACTGGATCCAATGGAGTTTTCTTTCTTGAAGTGGCTAAGTTAAGCAAGTTATTGCCGTTTAAAGCTAGTAATTATTTAAAATAAATTTTTAGACACTTACACACATAAGGTAGTATTATTTTTATTATTGCAACTAGGGAATGCAATCCCGCAGATGCTGGATCCCTCTGAGATTCCGCGGGATCAAAGTTGCGGGATTTAGCGTGCGGGATCCGCGGGATCGACCCATTACTACTAGGTAACCGAATCGATCTCGATCAGGGTCAAACCGTTTCGTTCCGGGCTGATGCGTCGACGGTCGGAACTCGGGGGATTCCCCTTACGGCTTGGCCATTAAAAATGAGTGAAACAAACAGGTTACTTGTTAGATTTCCTTCTGGCGTATGTGCGTAAGTGAAGAAAAGCGTTTAACTAGTACTTGTAGACAATTTCGTCAAATAAACTGCCGGACATATGTAATTATTGAGACAAGAAAAATTTTAGGGTAAATTTAAAGTTGAATAGGTATCTCTTGAATTAAAAAATATTTTGGGATGCGGTTTGGACCAGGTTTTAGACGCATCTATTTTGATTAAGATGCTATATGGTTTTCGAAAATATATTTAGCGAATTCTCGTATACAGGGTTTATAAGAGTGTGTTTATAAGAGGTTTATAAGAGTGTGAAAATTTGGTTGAGAGTCTTTTTTACCGCAAATTTAAAATTTTTAAAAAATCCAAATCTTTAGTCCAAAAAAAATTTTTAAAAAATCCAAATCCAAGTACGACTAATCTGTATTGAAATTAGAAAAAACAATTTGATAAGTTTTTTAATTTTTTTTATTTTATGGAAAATACGACTTTTTTTTGAAAAATATGCATTTTTAGTCATATATATGGTCCTAAATGGTACAGAAAGCTTTGTACATTCTGCATATGCCAAAAAATTATTGATATAGAGTGCAAAAAAGCAGATAACTAACACAAGTTAAAAAAAAAACTTCATCAGAATAATATTTTTATTTATAAAATAAGTAGATAAATTATAATCAAATTTAAGTTTATTTAATATTAAATATATTTTTTGAACACCCTGTATACATCGGTCCAAATTTCTGTACAGCTAGTTTAAGATACAGGCTATATCAATATATTGTGGTCCTATGCAAAATGTACAATGCCTTTTGTATCATTTAGGACCAAATGTATGACTATTATTTACAGTCCCGCAATTTTGCGGATCCGCGGGATTGACTGCTTTAATCCCGCGGGTTTGCGGGATTGAGATTTTGGTGCGGGATTGCATTCCCTAATTGTAACAGAACATTTAATAAATGGAAAAAATTCAGTGCAATATTTAATTTTAAAAACGCATACAGAAATGAATATACAGGTTGTTAATTTGTTTATTACTCGCGGCAAGAGCTTTATGGTTGAAATATGGCAACCTCGGCCAGCTCGATAGACGACGCGACGGGACGAGTCCAAGGTTATTATATTAAACAGGTTGCCTCGTAACATTTGGACCAATCACAGTAGTTGGCGCGATGACGTCAGCTAGGGTGATATTTAAAATAACTATTAACAAAATGTTTAATAATAATAACAATTACACGAGTTAAATTGTTTTTCTATAAAGTCTTTATTTATTTTTCTCTATTTTTGCTGCCATTTGACATTTTTAAGCAATATTTATATTCAAAAAAAATAGTTTTAGCTTTTTACCATGTTAAAATATCGCAAGCTAGTCGAAATAATTTATTATACATATTCATCACTGAGCAAAAAAAATACTGAACATTATAGGCTGTTACAGGTAGGAATGATTTCCATTTCTAAGGGAAATTTGATAAATAATTAAAAAAAACTATCTAGTTCATCAAATATAATACGTTAAGTACACTAAAACTTTAAAAAATATAATATATCCACTAAAACTGTCCTATAATTCACACAAATGCACTTAATACACGAAAAACTTCGGAAAACAATGTAAAATTATTTGTAAACAAGCTGAAAACTGCTGAGTACCACACGATGACGCGCAATATGGCGGCTAATGTCAAGTTACGAGGCAACCTGTATAATTTAATAACCTTGGGACGAGTCGGCAGAATACCCTATAAGTGCATGCGTTCTCAATAGGCAGTGTTGCCATTCTGTTCCCTTATGAGTAACTGTTCAGTTGACAACCTGTATATTTCATATCAAGCATTCAAGTTTTTATAGCATTTTCACAAAATCGTAAGATTAAAGTGCGGTAAACCTTAATCAAATTTACCTTTATTTTAAACGTAGAAACTAAAAATGTAATAATATACAGGGTGTTCAATTAAAAAAAAAAAATTCGACGTTTTTTATTTATTTGGGACACTCTGTACCTTTTGGAAATAATTTTAAATTGTAGTTTTAGTAGTCCTGCAGAAAAAATCCAAATCACTCACAATTTCTAAAAATCCAATCATTTGGCTACAATACTCCGTGTCAAATAGCGTGAACAACCCTGTCTATATTCTCAAATGTTAGTTGGCCAGTCTACAGGGTGAAAAAAAGCACTTAAAACATTCTTGCTTTTTTTGCAACCCTGTATATAGAATAGTTTAAAAATGGCCGTAAGTCATGTGTATTAGTGAAAAAACAAGCTATATTTCGTTAAAAAATATTGATATGATATGAGCGGAGGGTTGGGATAATTGATGTTAAACTTAATGTAAATTTCACTCGTTTCACGAATTCTTCCGTTTTGAAAGAATGTTCTGGATGGTACTTACTGTACTCAGACTGCCTAAAAGTCCAAGTATAGCTTCCAGATCTATTGTTCCATCAGGCTACATAGAGAAAAATATGTTTAGATACACTGCAAAAAATGAAACATTTTCTTTATTGAACTTACTCGACTTAGACCACCCAAAAACGAAGATAGCAAGCCTGTGAGCATGTTCGCATCTTCCTCGCTGCTTTCCTCTTCTTCCGAAGATGTTTCCTGCCTGGTATTTCTGGATTCGTTAAATGCTCTGGTTATGTTTTGAAGTAATGGGTCAATTTTTGATTTCCTTTGTCTGGTTTCTTGCGTCGTGTTTGATATGTTTCTCTCTGACGATGTTGAGTTCTGTAATAGTCAATATTATTTTTTATTTATATTCAATATTAATTATAATATTTGTCAATATTATTTATAGATTTTTAGGGTGTTTCTACAAGAGCTGATTGGATTAATATATCAAAAAGTCAGACAATAAACTTTAATATTTTAAGTTTAAGGCTTTGTATACATGACACATGGCAATTAACACATGACACATGGCAATTAATATAATTCCAAATTAAAAATGGATAAGAGTTTTCATTCATAATAGTAATACAGATATATTTCAAAGAACTTTACTTAAAATTAAGTTTTTTAATTTTGTACTAGTTTATAGCACTTGGTGGTATAACTTGACAAAATAATATCAATCATTAAATAAAGCATAAACGAACCAAAAATAAACAAAAAGGTTAATTTATTTAATAAAACGTACAACGTACGGCTTTGTATGCCGATTGTCGTGTGTATGAAGAATAAAGTCAACGTTTGTTCAGTACAATACGATATACTGAAAGAGAAAAGACTATAAATTACGGGAGAAAAATGAGAAGTTTATTACCTATCCACTTAATCCGGATCGGTCGACAATAGAATTTGTGATATTTACAACATTATGTAATTAATTGATTATCGGTCCTATTATGTAACTGAGGATGTACGTAACTACGTAATAGAGCATATTTTTTGGTTAGTTTATTTAATGAAGCGTACACACGGCTTTGGTTGCTGATTCTCGTGTGTCAACGTGTTCAGTACAATACGATATATTGAGAGAGATGCTGATGCACTATTACGTAGACACGTACATCCTTAGTTGCATAATAAGACAGATAATCTATTAATTCCAAAACGTACTAAAAGCGCAAATTCTGTTGTTGAACAATGTAATCAGTATGATTACAGATTAAATAATTATGGAGGTGCATATGAAACATTAAACGATTCATCATTGTGTTAAGTTATACCACGTAATTTAACAAAAAGATCAATCATTTAATGTCTCACTTCACACTGGCTCACTCCATTATTATTTAATACTGATTAGAATGGTCGACAATAGAATTTGCACCATTTACTACGTAATACAGCATATTTTTGGTTAGTTTATTTAATGATATAACCGATAACGTACACACGGCTTTGGGTGCCGATTGTCGTGCACAGAGTCTATAGACTCTGTGATTGTATAAATGAACAAAGAGAAAAGAGCAAGAATTTTCCCAAGCGTATGAAGTTGAGCTCCGGATTAAGTGGATAGGTAATAATTTTCTCTCCCCGACTTACAAGATTGCCATAGCGATTCACTTCTAGACATGTAGGTAAATGATGACTAAAATATACGACCCAAGATTTTCTCTTGCCGACCAGTATATATAGTCTTAAAGAAATTAGAATAAAATAAACTATGTTAAAAATGTTCATGTATACTACTGAAATGAAGATAATATATTTAAGCTAAATGTAATCTATTACAGTTGTAGTAAAATGAGTAACTAATTGTTGAAAATCCAGATCCAACCCTAGATGCCACATTTTTTTGAAACGTCTACTTATGCGGTTTGAAATTTTGATGCAAAATCTGGCAATACCGCTCAGAAGAAATGTTCCCACCCATACCCACCCAACTTTTTTCTCTTTTTAATACATTTGATTTGCCATTAAGCTGCCTACATCACTGTCTTACACGTTAAAATCCTATACACAGAGTTGACCTGTCCCGATGTGTACCTATATTTGATATCAGTTATTATTAAACTTTCAGTTACGTAATCGAGGGCGCGATTTTTAAATTCATTGTTACCAACCATGGACATATTCGGAGCCATACTGGAGTTTAAATTTCGCTCTGGGGATTCAGATGGCAGTTCTGTTGTAAAAAATGTCAAGTTGCCGCATTTATTTATTTATTTCCTGACATTGTCATTCCGTTTTGGCACTTTAGTTTTGTGCTTTTCGTTTAAATAAATAGTGTTGTGATACTTTAAGCTTTAAAATGTTTACTAGCAGACATTGCAGTCAGACATTGTTCTTTTTAGAACCTCTTTTAGTGCGAAGTGTACAAGATAGCTTAATAGCCGTAAAAAACTCATTGTAATTTATTAGAATATTTTGAATGGGATAGCGGTAGTAATGGCCCTTTATGTCCCTTAAGTGCTGTTAAGAATGTGAGTTTTGTTGATGTAAATAATAACTGCTTATACATTATTTATAATTAATTAATTTTTTTTTTCTAAAATATTTCGATTAAAAGAAAATATATAAAAGTGGGCAACGGGGTGGCGGTCAAGCTTAATCACGTGACTAAAAGTTTATTTAGCATGACCTGTAGTTGATAACTCTTTTTTAAATTAATCATAATATTTTCCAGAAAAAAATATGATAAAAATAGTTTCTGTTGAATCTTGGACACAAGAACATTTCAAATTTATTATATTTGAGTCTGATAACTATCTAGTTAACATGATTAATTTTTGTCAATGATGACAGGTATTGACTATTTCGATTCCAAATATCTCGAGAACCATATTATTGGTAGCGATTTTTACCAAAAGAACTTTTTTACATACAATACCACATAAATGTATATTTTTTCACTCAGTAGTGTAATACAGGTACGGGCAAAACTTTATTACTTTTTAAAAAAGTGAAAAAATATGTAGGTGGCGCCCTCTACAAGTAGGAGTCATCCTGGCATCGAAATCAAATTTCTTGTGTCAAAAAACACCAAAACACCGATTTTTTAGACCAACCTGTATAATAATATTATGATACAAATACTGGAAAATGATTAAAACTAGAAAATGTCTTATAATCTGCAAATTAAAAATCAGTTCAGATATTTTTGATATATCTATTAGGTTGAAAGTTGAAACTGAATGCAAACCAATATGTATATACCGGGTGCATTTTGAAAGTGGCTCACCCCTATAACTTATTTTTTTTTCAGATAAAAAACGAGTTTCGGTATGTTAGTATATGACATAAATTAGGATTGATTGGACGTATTCAATTATTTTCGTCCACTTCCTGTTTCACCGAAAATGACTATAACTTTTGATTTTTAAATGACGCCCTCCGTATTTTTCTCTTTATTCGATAGAAAATGGCACTCTGAATAGAATGACATATCATATGTCAAATTATTTTGCCATTTTCGCTTAAAACAAAATTGTATTTAAAATTTCAATCTAGAGTGCCATGGCTGTGTTAAAAACACTAAATTTTAGTCTTGGAAAAATAGATTTGACCGTCTGATATTTTTAGTGTCTTGTCCTGGCCGGTTAAAAGATGACCAAATCGTATTATTAATCATATCTCAATTTTTTCAAATGGAAAGTGGGTGGCTCATTAGCATATTTCGAAAAAGATTTTTTTTAAGAATAATTTGGTACCACATACTTGGTATTTCGAATCAAATTGTCGTTATGAATCGAATGTTGCAATTTCAAATAAACCATACTCAAAAAGGTGAAAAAAAGGGTGAGCCATTTTTGAGACGCACCCGGTATATGCAATATTGTTAACTAATAATGCAGAATGTTATATTTAGACAAACTGATATTTTTTTGTAATTAAAGTAAACCCTCTACTGTTAAAACTGGTGTAAACGGATACTGTATGCTTAAAATAACGTTAACTATAAAAAAAGTCAATCGGTTCAATGTCATAGGTACTTTTATTCCTTTTTTTATATCTATGCCTTTATTTTAGACTCCAGTCTCCTTTTACTGAAATCGACTGGGACCGAAAAGTAAACGTAAATTAACCATGAAATTCACTCGATTTGCGCTAAATTAATAATAATACAGATTTTCCCGCGTGTGTCTTGGGCAATTTTCTGCGAAAAACAAATCCTTGACAGCGTACCGACCGATTCAAGCACTATTTATGCAGATTACTTATTATGTACCTGCGTTTGGCGTTGACTAATAATAATCTTGAAAGACAGTTTAGTTTACAAAGAATAAAAAAAGTGAAAGGAAGTTTGGTTACGATAAATTCGAACTTGTCTTGAAAATGAAAATGTATTTTCCCTATACGATTAATTATTAACTATACCGTAAATAGAGCTGCAAACTCACAGAAAACTTTTAAAACAGTTATTTTTTATACAACAAAAGACGATAAAATGGTATTTTATCGTCGACCGAAAAAAATTATTTCGGGAGACGATAATGCAATTTTATCGTCGTGTATAAAACAATAGTTTTTCCATCGCGGGTTACGTTTTAAAAAAATATTCAGAAATTATTATTTCACGAAATTTATTATGAGTAGGAAAAATATTGTGCTGGGTTGGCGTTGGTTTCTATGTAATTTGACAAATAAATAAAGCTGTCTCTTTAGTTGTCAGTTTTGAGTCAATATTTTTTAATTCTCTTTCGTGTCAATTGAATTGGAGCCAGAAATGGCTCAAAACTAAATAAGTAAATTACCAACAGATATTCATGCTGAGGCGACAAATGCCATATCCAAACTACTTCCATTTAAATCCCGAATAACTTATGAAAAAGAATACAACAATTTTCAAAAAAGGAAGCAATTAAAAAACGTGCGAGAAGAAAGATCAAGTGAAAACATACTTTTAGCATATTCTTCTGAAAAATAAAAGAAAATGCAACCGTCCAGTTTATGGTCGGACTATATTCAATGCTAAAAAGTACAATACTGGTCAATGAAAACATTGATATTTCAAGATAAGGTTAAGCTATACCGTTTAAATTTCCGTAGTAGTATAGTAACATCTAAACTTTGTAGATATAGCAAGCTCATAGCTTTATTGAAGCAGTCATGTAGCGGTGACAAACCGAAAAAGTCAAAAATTTTAAACCCAGAATGTGTCGTGAAATTTCTTTGCACTGCTTTTCTTGCATTTAATCTACCCTTGCGGTTAAAGTACTATTTTATCTACTATTTTTGATAGATATAAGGCAATTTTAACAGTTGCTATGGAAAAAAGTTTTTTTTTTATTTAAATCATATTTAAGCCATTAAAACTTAAGTCATTTTTCCACTGAAAAAAATATTGTTCATAATATTAATGTACAGGGTGGGTCAAATTCGACGCTTTTAAAGGGAAACACCCTTTTCTATAGGAGATAGACGAAAACTAATATCGGTGTCTGGAGCTCAATTTTTGTCAAAAACATGATGGTGAAAACCGCATATCGATATCTGTTACCGTTTCGGAGTTACGGGGTGTTTTTTAAAAATGTGCATTTTTAACAAATCGCTTGAACATTTTTGCTATGGAAAATTTTGTATTTTTATAAAAACATTTCCAAAGCACATTTTTACGTAGAATTTAATGGTTTAAATATAATTTTTTTAAAGTTAATAATTTAAGGGTTATCAACAGAAAATTTAATTTTATATATGGGACACCCTGTATATTTTTAATTTATTGAAAATAATTTAAAATTACCTATCCAAAAATATAGCACACTTACTATTTTGCTCGATTCCTCTTCGAGATATAGAGTTTATAAAAGTTCGTCCACTTTAAATAAGTAGGCTTTGAACGGCGCCGGCTGTAATGCAAAAAAATTCTAGCTGTGAACATCAATTAAAACGAAAATAATATTTGCATTGAGAGATGCAGAATTTTATAACAATTTGAACTATATTTAACCAACATGAACACATTTAAACTATATCTAATAACAATAAAAATAAATAGCAAACCAAGACTACAGTTGTTCGATATATCAACCGTTTTCTGTTATATGGACAGACGGGGTCGTTTTTGAACATTTCTCGCGGAATTTATTAACTCAGTGGGGGTAAAAGATACCCTCTCATAATTGCCAAGTATTTCTAATTCTTGTCTAGATTATACGGGCAATTTAGAAATAAGGACCCTTATTTTTCCGCAAAGATGTCCATAGGATTAGATCCATACGGCATAGATATCGGCATCCATAGGATTAGATTCCTCGACGGCAGACGGCTGGGATCTTGGATAGCTATTCAATTATTCTTGAAATTGGCTGCAAAAATTTGCTGACAACTTCAGCGTTCTGAGGCGGTGCCTCGTATTGCTGGAAAAATATGTTTTCGAGTTTCATTAGGGGCATATCATCAATAAGGGGTCCAAAGCCTACTAGTTAAAAGTGGCGAACTTTTAAAAATTCTGTATTTCGAAGGGGATTATACCAAAATATCAAGTGTGCTATATTTTTGGAAAGGTAATTTTAAGTTCTTTTTAGTTCATTAAAAATATACAGGGTGTCCCAAATAAAAAATCAATTTTTCTGTTGATAACTGCTAAATTATTAATTTTAAAAAAATTATACTTAAACCATTAAATTCTGCGTAAAAAGGTGCTTTGGAAATGTTTTCATAGAAATACAAAATTTTCCATAGCAAAAAAGTTACAGCGATTTGTTAAAAAATAAACATTGTTGAAAACACCCGACGGTAACAGATATCGATGTGCACTTTTCACCATCATGTTTTTGATCAAAATTGAGCTCCAGACACCGATATTAGTTTTCATCTATCTCCTATAGAAAAGGGTGTTTCCCTTTAAAAGCGTACAATTTGACCCATCCTGTACATTGATTATTAACTGTTGTTTCATTGGGACAAAATTATTTTTTTCATTAATATAATGATTTGTTAATCATAGATCGATGTCCGATTTATTAATACTATGAATCTAATTTCATCAATATAATGAAAATCTGGTTATTAAATTAATGTAAGATTTTCATTAATATAATGAACGCGTTCTTTATTTTAGTGCTGAAACTTTAATAAACACATATTCATTATATTAATATACTAAATCATTGATTAATGAGTTGTACATTGTGACAATGAACAATGTTATTAATACAACGAACACACTACATTATATTAATG